TGCGAATAAGTAAAAGTAATAAAAACCACAAAATATTTACATAATTTGAATAATTAAATAACTTAATTAACTTTAATTACTAACACGATAGTTGCAACTGCATTTAATTAACCAAGTAAACTAATCCGGCAGTGTAAAATTATTAAAAATAAAATTAAGTGTAATTTTAATTTGTTGAGATATGTATTTCCCACAAATCTAATGTGGCAAGAAATGAACCAGAAAAATTACGAGTAATTGCAAATCATTTGAATTTTAAAATAAAAACTATTAAATTACTTATTAAATACAGCTTAAATAAAATAGTTATAATCAATCAAGAATTTGTTAATTCGGATATATGTACACTTAAGCTTATGAAGAGTAAACAATAAATACTTTTTACAAAAATTTAAGTGTTGAGATATCATCTGTTCGGTATTCTATTCTATATTCTATTTCATATTCTATTCTATATTTTATTCTGTATTCTACTCGATATTCCATTCTTTATTCGATTTTATTTTATTCTAGCCTACATTTTACTCTACACTCTATATTTTTCTACTTTCTATACTATATTATTTTCTACGTTCTTCTATTTTAAATTCTGTTTTATGGTCTATACCACTCTATGCTTTTTCATTCGTATCAACATATCCAAAATATCAGTATTGCAACAGTTGTTTCTTTTAAATCTAATTAACTGAAGGACTAATAGCATAATTTCGTCATACATAGGTACGTAAGTGATTGATGAAGCGCACAGTACTCAACCAAGAACTACGATTCCCTTGCACCAATTACCCTTGCAATGTTGAAATTGCTGGTTGTCATTCAAATCGCTGTTGCTTTAAAATTCTGGTAAACATTATTAATGCTGGAGTTGTCGTGGACTTGTAGTTTTGTATTAAGCTCAAATAAACATTTTTGTAATTTAAACACTTTTGTGAACGTGTGAACGTTTGGTAGAAAAAATGAGTTTCCAGTAGTTTCAAAATTTCGTCTACTTGCAGGCCGCAGGCTGAGTAAATTCAAAATAATAATAAAAAACTATATTCAAATTTACATGGTGGATATTTTGTCTGGAACAAAGCAAAAATTACAAATTCTTGAAGTCAGTTGTGCAGTTGTGTCCAAATCAATTGCAAAACAAATAACCGGATTTGAAATTTCTGGTTGAATTACAATACATTTACTTTTTCAAAAGATTGCAAAATATTTTTTATAAAATAAATATTAACTGTATTGAAAATGATTAGACTTGAGTCTCAATATTTATTCTACCTCGTAATTGCTTTCAGTATATTCAAATATCGATTTCTTATTCAGAAATAATCCCTGCTTTTGTGTGCTCCAGTCTGTATAAATATAATAAAAATAGAATAGCAGAGAAAATCAGAGAATTTGGGCTCTCAGTGAATCCAATGACTTCAACCACAGTAGATGTTTTCTACTTACAACTAATTCCAACTGAACAGAAGACATTAGATATGTGAATGAAAGTCAGAATCTGTCATGATGATAAGTTGCAAGTATTATATGGAAAGAGAATTTTATGCTTCAACATCCGCTTACTGAACGATGTGATTACAACACTTATTCCCCGCTAGGCAGATATTTTGGTACCTCAAACAGAATGATCTTGTTGAAGTGATAATGCAGGTTAAAATATCCTGTCTAGTTGCCTGTCATCAACTTGTGAGGATAAATGTCTCATATTGATTATAAGAATGTACCAGCTCATCAGCTTTAGTCTGGCGGCTTCAGGAGTCTCACTAACAACTAATTCCATAGCAAATCTCTGTGTTCTTAACTGAACAAAATCAAAAATGGCTAAAATTTAATATCAATACAAAATTCTGTACTCTTATTTATCTTATATGATTTTTTATGGATTTGGCAATTTCATTAGCCTCAGTGTTGAATTTCCTAGTTTAAATTGTACGAAATAAATTGAATTCAGTTAAAAATACTTGACAGTGGACACTCGCAAAGCAACACGCTGACTGCACCTAAATTTTTCAAATCCGTGAAGTATGAATTATAGTTTGTTTTTTTTTCAATTTCATACGAGCATTTTCGTTTTGCTAAAATATTTTTTAATAAAAAAAAAATTATCGCAACGTGCAGAAAATTGAATTAATTGTTACAGTTTTTATTGTTTTTAAATCACTTATTAATAAGTGATTGGTTAATTAAGTTTTATTGGTTAACAATTTATTATAAATAAGTTTCTTTTGTCTTTCAGAATATGTTCCAGCATATTTTTCGACACCACA